ACACACACATACACACACACACACACACACACACACACACACACACACACACACACACACACACACACACACGCACACACGTAAAGCGCACTCTTCTGGGCGATTAACGAACCACGTGGCAAAGCGGTTTCTATTATTTGATCAATCTTTGGCGCCAAAGACTGTGTCGAATGTGAGAAAGAGTTTGTTTTCTTTCCGCGCCGGTGATAAAGTAGACGCACGCAAAGGAAAACATCAGCTTTTTCGATTGCCGATGGCATCCGCTAGAAGCACAATGTGGTGGAAAACTAGCCCGCGCTGGCGTGAACGAGCGATATAAGGATCAGCTGCTTGCAAGCCTGCACAGGAAATCTCTTACGTAGTCATACAGGCGCTCGCTGGTGGGTTTCAGAGGGCGTGTCACGAGAACACGCCTGCATGAATTAATGGAGATTTCATTACACATTTAAATTAGACTATTAATTTATGATTTGATGCGGTTTATCGGTCATCACGTCAGCATACATGATGAATGCGTGTTGGCGTCGTTCGTATATAAGTGAAGTAGTGCTATAAAATGTTTGTTGATTCATACATTAAATCGATTTAAAAGTTCAAGCGTAACGTAGATGTATAAACTTCGCCGGTTCTGCTCGAAATGTTAAATAGAAATAAGGAATTTCTATTTGACACAAACAGTTCGAAATTTATTAATACGTCACTAAAGACATATCCCCTAATATCGAACGTCAGTAAACTCGCTCACTCCACCAGGTTGTGTTGCAGAGTATGGACGCATCTATCATCGATGCCCTGTTCCCATGCATACAAAGATATCGCCACGACCCTAACTAACAAATCAAAGACGAACAAAGACATTATATTGTGAGTTTAATCCCAGTCAGTAATGCACTCGTGTAACCCCACAGAAGTTAGTTACGTGGGTAACAGAAGAACACGACTATTACTGCCAAGTTTATGCAGATATCGATCCACTCGTCATCTTCATGAAGTTTAGTTATGTAAATGACGTAAGAACACGGCCCACTACCGGCCAGTGCTATAAATCGATCAGCCCGTTATCACCCCCACCAAGTTGAGTTACACATGTCGGGGGGAAGACACAGGCGGCCATTAGAAGATTCTTAGATATCGATCAACTCGTTATCTCGATCATCGGGCGAGGTCATGGGGGTCACCATCGCTGCTGTTTGCGCACATGCTATATGCACGCATGTCTGTGTTCACAGCGGGTACATTAGCGACAGGCGGACCTCGCGCTGACCAAATAAACCGTAGACAGAGCGGTCACGGGGGGGGAGGCGGCGATGATGCCGCCCGATAAGCGGATGAAGCTGAGAGCCGCTCTCCTCCGCATCCTCCCGCCGCTCTCCTCCCGCATCTTCCCGCCGCTCTCCTCCGCATCCTCCCGCCGCT